ATTACGTATTTCCTTCTTTGGTCCGCTTTGAACCCAAATATGGAATTCCATGTTCTTATTTTTTAGGATGTCCGTTATTTTGGCGTGATCTTCGGCGGTTTTGACGAACAGCTGCGTCGTTCTGCCTGTATATTTTAGATGGATGCGCTTTGTGGTTTTGGTCACCTCCTGCATAAATCAGGCGATGTCCGCGGGGGTGCCGTTTAGTACGATTGGTAATGGAGGTTTCTCCTTGGTCGCTGTTTCGGGTGGTGATTCTAGGGCGTTCCGCAGCAGTGCGAACGAATGGAGGTGGGGATGTTTGCTTCGACTTCCATTTGCGTTTTTGTGGATTCGCTACTTTGCTGGCGTCTCGGGGATTTTTTTAACGTGGATGTGGATGCCTTCAGCTGCTGGATAATTTCCTTCGCCTGGTCTGGGGGGAATACATGGATCTTCGCCTTGTATTTCCTGTGGGGGAATCCCCACATCGTCGGTTGTGGGAGTGCACTTGGTCACTGTTTTTTTTTTTTCACTCTTGCACTTTTGTTTGGCCTCTTGGCCACCGTTTCTGGCCGCGCTCGGAGACGTTCGGAGGGTCTCAGGTATAATTGCGTTTGGTTTTACGGTTTTTCGATTGCTTGAGGAGCGTCTGTTGCCTATGAAGTTCGACGCAAGACTGTACTTTATTATATCACTTATGTATATTTCAGTATATAAATATATTTAAATATATTTCCTCCAGCAATTAAACTTATGCGTAGTTTCTGCAAATTATGATTAACCTACTAAAATCATTAATCAGTCGATATGCAGTATATCTCTTATTTCTAGTATACAGGTAATCCCCCTTCATCGCGAAGGATACGTTCTGGACATGGTCGCGATAAGCGAAATTTCGCGATCAACGGGTGAAGGATATGGTTATATGTGTTCAATCAAGACGCGAGTGTACTTTAAAAAGGTATTTTATTATTACTAACTGCGCGTGACTTAATGGTAGTGTCGCTAACGATCCTTACTAGACTCCCACAGCAGACTGGCCCTCGTTGCTTCGCCGGGCCACCAGCTGACTTCTCTAGGCCCGTTCGATGGAATTACCCTTTTTCTAATTGGCTAAACGGGAAATCCGTTTAAGCCAATTAGGCTTTTTTTTTGTGGAACTTCCACCGCCCACTCTTTTACGCCCTTAGCGTGATTTTCCGAGTGTGGGGAAGCAACTTGGTGGGAGTGATGTTTCCTGCGTAGATTCGGCAAAGCAGCGGGGTGCCCCGCGGGCCCAGCCGCTACGTGCGACATGTAGGTTTACGAACCTCCATCGGCAGGCCCTTGAGGGACCCTCGGTTTAGGATTCCTACGAACGCTATTGAGATTGTCGAGAGAGTTTACGTAAGGGACGAGTAAATTTCCAACGTCCTTATTATTGATTGACAAACGACTTCTCAAAAATAGCTTCGCTGGCGTGAGGATCCTAAACAGTGCTAGCTTGTTCTTGATATTTTCAAGTGTTTTTCCTGCTAGCCGTCTGCCCGCCGAATGTTTATTACGCAGGTATGTAGCGTGCCGCTACATCGGTATCAAAAAGAGGTAAGATTACGTTGGGAATATTTATTTGTAGCGATTATTTTTAATGTCGAAATATTTATATTATCTGTACTTGCCCCCACCATTGTAGTTTGAAAATTCGGCGCCAATGTCCAGAATGCATTGCAGAATCGTACTCCATTTAGAGTACGATTATCGTACCTGTACGTTACGTGAAAATCGCGAAGAAATACTATCTCCAAGCGCGACGTTATAGGTGTATATTCCCTTCTATCAACAGTCACACGGCAACCGTGTGTGATATTGAAGAGCCAAGCACACCTTTATAATCGGGATCAATACATTGTTTTCAAAGATGTGCGCGTATTTGATATCTGAGGTTGCCGCTCTGTACTCTATAATGAGAGCCTTGATGTCCTCGATGAGCTTGGGGATGTTCAGGTCATTTAGTTCCTCGTATAGGCCCTGGAGTTCGGTGGCTAGGAGGTTCTAGGCCTGGCTGGCGGTTCTTGAGGGTGGTGGAGGTGGCCTTGTCTGAGCCGGAGTATGATGGGTGCGAGTTTGGCCGCTTGCCATATTTGCGAAGGTCACGTTTTCCCTTCGGTATGAGGTATACGTGAGTAGTCGGCTGGTGGTGCGGATGGTTTCGGCTGTTTTCCTCGTTTCTTTTTTTTCCAGGTATTTTAACCTTGCTAGCATTGTCTGTAGCTGGCCACGTGATGCTGCTTGCAGTTTGCGCATTTGACGGTTGTATTTGCGCGATCGAACTGCTTGCTGGTATGGTCTTGTCCGCATCTTACACACCTTTGCTTGATGTTGCAATAGGCGCTGGAGTGGCCGAATAATTGGCAGCGGTAACATTGGGTGACTGCTGATTTTGTTGCATATTTTTTGAACGTGCATTTGTGGTAAACAATAGCCTCGAGGGCTCTCAGGTGGTTTATAGTGACGTCCGGTGGGGTGACTAGCACGTATAGAGGGAGGGGATGACGGGTTCCGTCAGGCTCGGTCTTGACCATCTGGAGTACGGTGATGGGCTTCTTCAATTGTCTCTCGACATCTTTTTTGATTTCGTCGGTGGCGTAAGAGTTTGGCAGGCCCCGTATTACGTATTTCCTTCTTTGGTCCGCTTTGAACCCAAATATGGAATTCCATGTTCTTATTTTTTAGGATGTCCGTTATTTTGGCGTGATCTTCGGCGGTTTTGACGAACAGCTGCGTCGTTCTGCCTGTATATTTTAGATGGATGCGCTTTATGGTTTTGGTCACCTCCTGCATAAATCAGGCGATGTCCGCGGGGGTGCCGTTTAGTACGATTGGTAATGGAGGTTTCTCCTTGGTCGCTGTTTCGGGTGGTGATTCTAGGGCGTTCCGCAGCAGTGCGAACGAATGGAGGTGGGGATGTTTGCTTCGACTTCCATTTGCGTTTTTGTGGATTCGCTACTTTGCTGGCGTCTCGGGGATTTTTTTAACGTGGATGTGGATGCCTTCAGCTGCTGGATAATTTCCTTCGCCTGGTCTGGGGGGAATACATGGATCTTCGCCTTGTATTTCCTGTGGGGGAATCCCCACATCGTCGGTTGTGGGAGTGCACTTGGTCACTGTTTTTTTTTTTTCACTCTTGCACTTTTGTTTGGCCTCTTGGCCACCGTTTCTGGCCGCGCTCAGAGACGTTCGGAGGGTCTCAGGTATATGTAATTGCGTTTGCTTTTACGGTTTATCGGTTGCTCGAGGAGCGTCTGTTACCTACGAAGGTCGGTGCAAGACTGCTACACCAACCACTCCCTCTCTATTCTCCCTTGTCGGTTTCTTATTTGGGTTTGGAGGCCCTAATACTACATTAGCGTAGTGTATTTCTTTTGATGTGGAAAAGTAATTAAATAGGAATACTGGAATATCCACAGTCTATGTAGTATCTATTTAAGTGTCGAAGTATTCAAATATTGAGTAGGGGAGAGCGGAGTAACCCCGGTCTGTGGGTAATTCCGGCCACTTTAATATCTCAAAATAAAAAACGCGTGATTTGACTTTGTATGGTACTACCACTTGTTAATGATGCAACTAGCTAATATTCATCGCTTCTGTGACTATAGCAGCCTTTTGTTTTAAACAGTACCTAAATGTTCATTTTGCAACGAAATCTTGTAACAGTGGGCAATATTCAAGCAAGGTAAATTAGTACTTAGAATCGACATAAATTAGTAATATTAATCTCATTAAATAGAGGAATGTTTCTACTTTCAAAGTCACATTTGATTTTTTGTTATATGTAAATTCAATTCAGTGTATTACTTGAAATATCTGAACATGAGGTGTGGGGTAATACCGGTTAAAATTCACGGGTAATTCCAGCCAGCTTTTAACATTGCTTTTTTCTGGCGTAGATTTATTATTCTTATCATTTATTATTTCTGCGAAAATTTATTAAAGGGCATGGATGTCATTAGTAAGAAAAAGATGTCCGTATAATGTATAAGGCAGCACAATTGTTTGGAATACCATATTCTACTCTTCAAGAAAGAAAAATTGGAAGAAAACCAAGAAATTCAGTTAACAAAAATAGTGAAACCACCGCTAACTACACAAAATAAGAAAATTTTTATTAATTTAACAGTTTTCTTACCTCTTTTATAAAGAAAAATCATGGCCGGAATTACCCCGCTCTCCCCTACTTAAGTTTTCAAGTATTCAAGTACCGAATACTCAATTTTCAAATACTAAAACATCCGATACTAAGTATTCAATTATTCAAATAGGGAATTCTAAGATTTCCGGTACTCAAGTTCCGAATAACAAACTTTTCAACTACTTAAGAACCAGATATTAAAATTTTCAAATACTCAAGTATAAAATACGAAAAATTCAAATACTCAAACACCGAATACTAAAATTTAAGGCACTCAACTTTCGAATACAAAAATTTCCAGGTATCGAAATATCGAATGGTAAGATTTCAAGCACTCAAGTTGTGAATAATCAAGTTTTCAATTACTTAAGTATCACATATCAAATTTTCAAATACTCAAACATAAAATGCTAAGCATTCAAGTACTTAAATTTCAGGCGTTCAACTTTCGAATGCAAAAATTTCCAAGTACCGAAATATCGAATTCTAAGATTTCAAGCACTCAAGTTCGGAATAACAAACTTTTCATCTACTTAAGTATCAGATATCAAAATTTCAAATACTCAAATGTAAAATACTAAGCATTTAAATACTTAAATTTCAGGCGTTCAACTTTCGAATGCAAAAATTTCCAAGTACTCAAACATTGAATACTCCAATTTTAAGATACTCGAGCAACAAGTTTAAAAATTTTATCAAGTTCCCAAGCACACCTGTACAAACCGAGTTATCGAAAATTTTCAAATACCGTGTACCAAATCTCCTAATATCCAGATATCACGTATTATATACTCAAATACTCAGATCCTCTATATTCTCTCTATTCACTAAAATTATCTGCTCCCACCAGGCATGCTATGATACTAGGTTTCGTCGTTTGGATCTACGCACTCTGTCTCTCACTTCCGCCTCTGTTCGGTTGGGGAAGCTACGGTCCTGAAGCAGGGAATGTGTCTTGCAGCGTGTCCTGGGAGGTCCATGATCCCGTTACGAAAAGCGAGAGCTACATAGGATTCCTGTTTATGTTCGGTCTGGTTGTTCCGGTTTTGGTAATCAGCAGCAGTTACGTGGCCATTATATTAACTTTGAGGAAAGTGCGAAAAAGAGCAGGTAACTTCCGCATCCTTTATCCTCCACAAAATCTTCTTTGTTCTTTTAAACACCTGTTACACTTGAAAATTTTCATTCTTCGATTCGATTAAGATTCAAATTTTAGAATTTTAAACGTTCTTCTCAATATACCAGTCAATATACCAAAAAAAAAAAGGACATAGTAACGTCAATGATTTCTTTAATTCAATAATTATGCCGGTGATTATGAAAGTGTTTTTCGTTTCGAGATATTTAGACTTATTAATATTCTTCCATTTTGGAAGAACACGTTTCACAAAATGCATGGTCCTCCAACGTGAAACTTATCTATCGTTGTAAAATTTTATGAGTAACTTGTTTCGAAAGCTTACACTATTTTCGAAATTAATAGTATGTATATCCCGATTGGAGACTTATGATAATAAAAAATAACAAAGTTTATGACTAAAACAAACTAAAAACAAATATATTTATTTATTTATCTTGTAAATGTAATTTTGCTTCATTAATTTGTATTAATATTCTGCTTCAACAAGAAAATTTACAGTTTCTGATATTTTGATGAATTGGTGGAATGTAAGATAAGAAATCCATGATATATTTGTATTTTTTGTACATCACAAATGAGTTACAGCATTATCGAAAAGAAAGCGAAACTGCCATGGCTTATTATGAAAGTGACACCTTTATGTCATTGTTTACTTCACTGCTATTTTGCAAAAATTCTTTCGTAACATTGAAATGCAAATCGATGTATGTAACATGAAATAAGAGAAAAACTCGAATGTTTTGGTTTCTTGACATATTCCACTTTCATAATCATCCTTCTATTCTTGCACAGAATATTTCCACCTTTCTTCGAAT